TCATTCTATCATGGACTGATCAAGGCTCTTTCCGATCAGCTTTTTTATTAGACTACTTTCTCTGGAATCTATCTTAACCCCATCTTGATCTCCCAAGCGTTCAGAATTGCTCAATTTATTTTAATTATTATCATTCTATCATGGACTGATCAAGGCTCTTTCCGATCAGCTTTTTTATTAGACTACTTTCTCTGGAATCTATCTTAACCCCATCTTGATCTCCCAAGCGTTCAGAATTGCTCAATTTATTTTAATTATTATCATTCTATCATGGACTGATCAAGGCTCTTTCCGATCAGCTTTTTTATTAGACTATTTTCTCTGGAATCTATCTTAACCCCATCTTGATCTACCAGCCGATTCAGAATCGCTCAATTTGTTTTCATTATGTATCATTTTTCTCATCATCATTCTACAATTTTCCGATATGGCAGACTAATTGAAACTATCCATGATTGTTTTTCTCCACTTGCAAATTGCAAATCATTCTATTCTCCCTCCAGCGATTTATTTCCTATTAGCTTGAGCTATTCTTATGCCCTACGGCCAAATCATTGGAGTTTGCCTTACAGGCTGTTTATTTTATGCTGGCTTCTATCATGGCCGATTTGGGTCAACGATAGAAGTTTTTCCTCTTGCCTGCCGATCTTATCCAATCCGATCCATTCGTTTACTGTCGTTCCATCTTGACCAACTTGTAGATTGTTGGTTTTAACCGACATAAATGAATTCATTAGCCAACGCTACAAATCAACGATCATCGTTGTTTGCCATAACTAGGCTGTTCAACACTTTTCTATTGACAAGATGTTTATTTTAGCCTGCTGGAGTTGCATGTTCATTTAGTTGTCACTTGATTCTTTTTTTATTTCCACGATATTGTATACGGATAGCATTAAACTCTGTTGTCATCCATGTTGTGGGACCTAGATCGCCTTGTACATCCTTTACCCTAGCCAGGTGAATTGATTTCAATTCATTCTCCTTGTAGTAATCGATTGGCAAATTGATTTTCATTTTTGGGTCGTATCGACATGATTTTGCCTTTCCATATTCCCCTAGCATGGGCCGTTGTAGTTTATCATTGAACAGCATGAAAATGCCCTTCATAACCACAAGACATGGAAAGCAAGGATCGAGAATGGAGTCCGATCCATCCATCCATTTATAACATTCATAACCGCAAGACATGCAAAGTAAGCCTTTCCATGTTCTCCTAGCATGGCCGTTGTAGTTTATTATTGAACAGCTTGAAAATGCCCTTCATAACCACAAGACATGGAAAGCAAGGATCGAAAATAGAGTCTGATCCATGCATCCTTTTACCCCCTTGAGCTCCATTCTTTTTAGTTCTCTATTCCTGTCGACCATGTTTGTACTCAGCACAATTGAAAAGGATGTTTGTTGTCCATTGCCTATCGTCAAGTTGGAAGATGGATAGTTCTTTCTTTTATTCTACAATTAGCATGGATAAACTAATCTATTATTCATTTCATGTCCATTGCTTAGGAGTGATCCTCCTATCATCCATAGTCAATCAATAGCCAACAGCAATGATGACATAATATCTCTTCTTTCTTTTATTCACCAATAGTACATGTCCGGTTCTGAAACGGCTAGCCTCCATAGTTTAAGGTAAGTTCAGACTTGAAGCAGTTTCTCTCTTTCTTTCTTTCTCTAGCGGGGGGTAAAATGGATACGATCAAGATGTTCATGTATAGATCTGATTGCATGTCAACATGGCAATAACAGCAACAAGAAGTACTTTTATCTACTTTTACTACTTATCTCGTGATCAAAACTAGTGTCATAAAACATTAACCGAGATGATATAAAGCTTGGTTTTTCTCTTAGGATAGTTGAACAGTTAATATTACCGCCATTGCCTTCCTATCTCGTGATCAAAACTAGTGTCGTAAAACATTAACCGAGATGATAAATAAATATAGTATAAAATATAGTATAAGTATATATAGTATAAATGGAAGATCACATAGGCAATATGCAGCTTGGTTTTTCTTTTCCAGTAGTTGAATACTACTGTTATCGTCTTCTTATATAGTGATCAAAGCTGATGTAGTAAAAGATGAAAAGAGTTAGTTGAGAATTAACATAGCATGGCTATAGTATCACCGAGAAAGAGCAGTGAATCATAGGAAAGCGCAAATATTGCCTACGATGATTAAAGCAAAAATTGACCGTAATCATTCTAGTTCTAGTTTAAATGAAATCATACTATCATGATGGAATAGTTGCCACATAAATAGCGCTCCGTAATGCCAGCGTAAATTGCTTGTTATAATTGCTATGATTGAAATATCCATCTCTCATCATTTGCATTAAGTAATTCTAATGTTATCGTATTTGGATCATGCAGTAGTTCAGAAGATTTATGGCTTAGGCAGCCATCCAATGCCAATATTGAAAACGAAGATTTTAGCGATTCCAATTCCAATGTTATTATTGAATCATGCTTGTAAGTGGAATAAACTAATTTCAACATGGATTGCCGTTAATTCTGTAAATATAAGAGACGAGTAGGCTAGCTTTACGATCATTAATATCAGAATCGCATTTGAACATGATAGTATCCGATAGTAATCAATTTCCCAAGACCACACAGTGATTTAAGTTTAATCCATGAGTAGCCTATCCTTTTTCAATCCAGTATCCCAGTCAGTTCAATAATTTATCATAAACGGCCAATTAGAGTCGTAGTCAACGTAGATCATTTAGATCAATTCTAGGCGATAGTTTTAGCTATCTACGTTGGATTCGTGGAATATATCGTATAATTACAATTCTCAATCGATGCTAAAAAGATTGCAAATAGCACTTTCGCGTCATTATCCTAAGACACGATAGTTACAAGTCGTAAATCAATCGGCGTAGTTTGCTATAATTAATGATGAAGATTCTTGGTCTACAAAGTTGCAATATGTTTATCCAAAAGTATAAAAAGGCTTAATTTCTTTTCTCTAAATGTTATAGGAGAACACTTGAAGAGAAAGGCGTTGTTAACGAGTAAGTTGTCCTATCATCACATTTAGCTTACTATCAACATGTCGACATGATCAAATGCTAAAAATGAAATACCTCAAGTGTGCTTACAGCAAGAAATTATAATTCAGCCATATTCAGAATTGAATAGTTTACCATATTGTAATCTTTTTTCACTTCTTAGCGTAAAATAGTTATTTTACTTATTCTCGTGCAATAAAGTGATGAGTTTTAATAACTTGTATACTTATTCATATTCTTCTGATATTTACCTTGACTACTACATTAAAATTAAGTTATGAGCATCTGTTATCATAGCATAGTCGTTAGTATTCGATTCTTAGCCACCCAATTTAATTTTCCTTTAGTAAGAAAATCAAAAGACAAAATTAAAATACCGCTAACTCAAAAGTGTTTCGTGCACATCATTCAACCTAATTTATTGGACTACTTTTAAGGAGAGCTAATTTACAATAATTATTTATAAACTCATTTTTTCAATATTTTACTTAATCTAGCGAGGGTTCCACGCCAAATCCTAACATTTATGCAAGTTTACCTAGTAGAAATAAACTTAACAATACTATCAAAAAGAATAAGTATGATAACGATGAACATGAAAGTGGATGGAATTTCGACATTATGACAGCACCATCTAGCGGTAAATAATGATACATGATGGTAAAGTATTGCAAGAATAAAATTCATTTCTTGACAGGAGATTCAATTTACTTTATCTAGCAATAAAATTAGTCTACACGCATATTCATTATTGAAGTTGACTTATGTATGATGAAAATAATCAACTATCCTATCGTTTTTGCCTCGTTGTAGATATGAAAGGAGAAATAAATGATCGAAAATTATCCAATGGAATCGATCATTATGATAAAATTGCATCTAGTCAATTATCCATGGAGCGATCACTCATTCGATCTTCCTATACATCTTTACCAAGATCTGGAATTAATTTAATCATACCTGAAGGAGAAAATAGTAAACGCCAGCCATCTTCTAGTCGTGATACAATTCCAACATTGACATCTCCTCGAAAGCAGAAACTATCACTCACTGAAGGCTATTCTACGTTAGAACGACAACGCCAAGCTGCATCCAATTATGATTCCTCATCTGTCGATTATGAATCCTATCCTTCTCGTCGTTATTATCACAAGCAACAATCACAGCCACATCTACAACAACAACAACATGATTTTCATGAGAATGCAAACAATTCAACCAGCCCACAAGATATTCCATTACAATCGCCATCTTATGAACCTTCTGCAATATCAGATCGATACATCACTTATAAATCCGATGGATTATTACCCGTTCAACGTAGCAATAGCACTTATAGCAATGAAACAGAAGAAAATTTACCTAGTGGACCACCTAGTATCAAGCAAATGTCTCGATTAAATAGTGAACGATCCAGTAGCGAATATCAACGAATTAGTAATTTTGCTTATGATTCGACATCAATTTCGTCGCGTGGCCAAAGTAAATATGCAAGAGGTGGCCGCTCTAAACGTTCAGCCAGTCAAGATGGATATGGTGAAGGAATACCTGATTATCATACCATGCCATGGACAGCATCTCGCGATAGCCGTAATTTCATGTATGATGTTAATCGTCGTCAATCAGATCAATATACTGATCATGAACAACTTTCTATAGAGAGTCAAGGCCATATTATTTTAGTTTCTGATCGTAGTGCAAGTGGTAGGCGAAAAAATAGTACACGAAGTGGTGATGGTGGTATTGGTAGCCATCCTACAGGAACCTATGGAAGAGAAGATAACTACTATGCTGCCACTATGCCTAATCGAGATCAACGTGGTAATAGACCACGAATACGTGGTGATGATCTATTCGACAGTAGTGGATATATTTCTGTTGCTCAGAGACCATCAAGGCAGCAATCGGTTAATGGCCGTATCTCCAGTGCAACGTCGAGTGTTCGATCGGTGGGTAGCTCACAAAAATATTCATTAACCATCGAAGATGCAGTCAATATGCTCAAGAGTGATAATTCAATCCATTCCATTAATGCTGCTGTTCATTTACAACATGCATGCTTTAATAATGATGGAGTGAAAGCAACAATTAAGCGATTAGGTGGTATTCTTCATTTAGTTCGTATGGTGGATAGCAAGAATGAAGAAATCCAATTAAGTGCCATTGCAACCTTGCGTAATTTAGCTTATGGTAAAGCCAATGATGAAAGCAAAGGTGCTATCCTTCGCCATAAAGGTATACCAGTTCTTGCTAATGTCTTGCGGCGAACCGGTTCACCCCATGTTCGTGAAGAAATTGTACGTCTATTGTGGAATCTATCAACATTAGAAGCTGCTAAAGAACAATTGTTAAATTTAACCTTGGATGTATTAGCTAAATTAATCGAAGATCATTCAATATCAGCTGGTGAAGGCAGTTTATCCGATACTCAATGGCCAACCATTTATGCCAATGCTACTGGTACATTACGCAATTTATCATCCAGTACCAATCTATCATCTCGACAGATGATGAGAAAATTAGATCATTTAATTAATGCTCTCATCACAGTCACTCATTTATCGGTACAACGTAAAGATTTCGATGGTAAATGTGTCGAAAATTCGGTCTGTATATTACGCAATTTGTCGTATAATTTAGAAGAAGAAGTTGATCATGGTCTTGATATCGCTGAAGGTTATAAAAAAATTAAGCTCAAAAAGAGATCGGTACTTGGTAAGATATTCAATGATCGTAAGACCAATTTAGAAGCTAAAAGTGTCATCTTACCAGAAAATAATCGTAATATTAAAGGCATTGCTATTTTATGGCAAACAAGTACTATTGAAGATTATCTAGCTATATTACAGGAAGGTAGAAATACCGATACAATAGAAGCAGTTGTGGGTGCCATTCATAATTTAACCGCTTGCAATTGGAGATTTTCTGGTCATATTCGTTATGTTGTTCGTCGTGAGAAAGGAATTTCAATTTTAAGGGATTTAATGCAATTTGAAGATGAAAAAGTATTTACAGCTGTAGTAACAGCATTGAATAACTTGGCTTTAGATGAGTTTAATAAAGATCTCATTGGCGATATTGCATTAAGCAAATTAATCGATAGAATTCTTGGCCGTAATAATCAATTCACTTTAACGGATATCTCTTTATGTAGTCTTATCAAAGCATTATGCGTCTTAATGTATAAAAATAGCAAAAATGCCAATCGTTTAGTTGATAGTGGTATCTTGCCTCATTTAACAGTTTTATCTAGGAAGAATTCAGGGCGTGGTAGAGATGTGATTAAAGCTTCAAATAGTCTATTATTTACGTTATGGCAATATAAGCATATTCGTTCATCGATTAAGAAAGCTAAATGGGATTTAAAAATAATGAAAACATCATTAAAAGAAGCTGCTGAAGTACCTGATGCAATTTATATTCGTGCTGCGGATATTCCTGATGCAGAATCAGAAGAAGAAGTAAAAAATGGTGATGATCATACCATGACAAGATCAGGCAATGCTAATGTTGCCAATTATGCTACTGCAACATTAACTAAAAGATCAAAATTGCGTTCTGATGAATATCCCCACGAATCGATACCAGAAGATGAACGTAAGTCAATTCAAATTTGTTTATGATTGTTGTTGCCATCTGTCAATCGAACTATTATGCTCATCTCCATATTCAATTAGTTATACCTATCTATTTCTATGCCTCTTATCGCTAAATTAGAACACAGTCTTGGTAGGATTACTATAAAATCATGATATATTCGACATAAATGTAATAAATTTTAATGTGATATTATATCCTGTAGTTACATTGCAAAGAATACCATCAACCCAGGAAGAAATAGAAGGATCTGTTTTCTCCGGTAGAAAGAGAGCATCCAAATCCAGCGTATTAACCGATCCAAGTCAACAAGGCGTTGATCGCTTAGTGAGTGTTGGCTCTCATGAACGTAATAGTCTCGGTGACAAAAAAAGTACTCATAGTTCTGATGGTGGAAAATCTCGCCATGCTAGTCGAGACTTTTCACAACATAGTGGTGTGAGAACATCACGTAAAAGTTCCTCTAATAGCCAAAATGAAAATGTTATTTATCAACACAATGGTAGTACAACTTCAAGACAAAATAGTGATCAAGCTAAATCTACACCAAGGCATTCATTAAATTCCAAATCGAAAGTTTTAACCGACTATAATGATAACTATAATATGGATGAGTAATTATAAGGGACTATTCCAATTTTAATTTATAAAAAAAAATTCCCATCAGCAATGGTGCTTACCATAATCCATTGGCAGTGAATCATTGGTAGAGCCGTTCCTTTCTAGTAGGTTGGCTACTTATATTGTATTGACATGCTACCATAACTATTTAGTCAGGATTGCTCAATATAGCACAGTAATTATGATCAATAGCAATAGTTAAATGATAGTTATAGTATAAAGTGAACAAGTGATTGCGATAGATTTCACAACAATGCATTGACTGCAAAGCTGCAAGCAATTATATTCAACCTAATAACATATACATTCGCTATATATAGTATATGTAAATCCATCATCATTCTACGTTTTACCATTATTTATAATAAATTTAAAAATGGAATTGTCATCTAAAATATATACATTTAGATAGAAAGCAAGTAATCAAATCTATCTCTATTATCATGGATTTGGAATGATTTTTATTATGGTGATGTTCATCGGTGAAGTGGGACAAATATTTTAAATCAATCTGCCGATGGGATACTTTTGTGTAACTACTCTAAGCTCTGCAAAGCCGTCTCAACTCCAGTAATCCTTCATCTACCATAGTAAAATTAAAATTTTATATGAATGGTTGTACTCCAAGATTGCCAAGACTGCTGTTAGTGTTCAACGACTTGAATACACTAAGTTGCAAATAAAAAAATGGAATGTATGGCCTAGTGAAATGATTCCCAATATTGAGGGAATTTTCATCCATATAGTTGCCAATTTATTTTTTTTTGTATCATCCGCTACAGGCATAGATTGGATCGATATTCTCTAATTTGTAAAATCTTTTTCATCAATTTATTTTATCATCTTCAATACCTACTTAATCTTTAATTTTGAATATCACCTCAATTAAATTGTATAGTTATCTATAATCACTATCCATCTATCGCTATAAGCCCATTTTTTTTTTGTTGTTGTTCATATACTGAGATTATAGATCATTTTATTTCAAAATGAATCATGATATAATTATTAATCATGGTGTAGCTAATAATAAAATGTCAGAGCCAACATTTTTGTGTCATCATTACTCATCAATGTGATAGATAATCTTTCAGGGGTAATTTGAAAAAATTTCTGAATGTTATGATTGATTCATATTAACTCATAAAATGAATGCGATGTAATTTCCTGGGTTTGTTAAACTCTTTTGTCATTTACATACTTGTATTCATAATTACTTACAATAAGCTGCAAGAACGTTTAAATTGCCCATTACTATTACATGATTCTGTTTAAGGTTTTGACTGAGTGATATTTTACAGCATTATCCGATCTATAAGATCCATTTCTAGCTGATGGCTGCTACAAATATGCATAGTGTCTAAAAGTATCAAACTATCAATTGATGCTTTATCAACTTTTGTTTTTTGCCAGATGTTAAGTCATACGATTTCTGTTCGCTCCTTTTTTCGATACAATAATGCGCATTTTAAATTATTGCTTTTAACTTGCTAGTAATGCTAATTTTTATATCCTAATTGGATATAGATTTTATTTATATATCTATACAATGTAGATACAAATTGTATTTATAGAGTTTTCTATTTGGCCAATCCATGCGAAGATAACATTTAAAAACTATTTGGCGCTTTTGGTTGTTACCTTTAATCAATTTCCGTTCTGAATGCTCATTAACTGGTACTTAATAAGATTTTGCTGTTTTATGGTTGATTCCTTCTATTACTCTTCTATTATCTAAGAGAAATATACAATCTATAAACTATTATACAATAATTTCAATCATTCACTATCATATAATCGTGTCGGTTGTCAGATAGAGTCGTAACTGCACTATGAATTGGCCTTTAATCCAAACGATATTTATCATAAGATCCATTTTTTTTGGTTCGAATTGAATGTTCATCACTGTAATGGTTAATAATTAAATCGCTAATTGCAAGAGGGAGAATAAAACTTTTAACTACTTGCTATAATAATTTTATAATCTTGTAATCTATGCGTGATATTTTAACTAGATAGCAAAATATTGCCTTAATATGCCTTCAAATGGTTTGTACAGTTGTATGATTTACGGAACAGTTAGAGGTGAGATCAACGTAAAAAAGAGCTCCATTCTTTCTATTTACTAACTCTACAAGGTGATGCTAATTTATAGTATATATTAAGTTACCGAACTAGATTGGCCGCAAAAGTGAGAAAAATTAATTGTTCTTTAGCGTTAAATATGTGAAACAAGATTAAATCTGAAATTTGATACATAGAGTAACTTCCAATGTTCTCAGAAAACTTTAAAGCCTTGAAAATGCGTGTAATAGAGTTTAAGCTTGCATATAATAGTTACTATTTAGGATACTGAGATGAGATCTTTGTTATATCTCAGAACAGTTGTTTATATTAAGCAGTTAAGTTAATATTATGCTATCAATGGAATGGTCGTATTAACTACTAATAATTCATTTAGAAGTTTATTGGTCGATTTAAAATATGAAGATGATGAAAATCTGTACTTCACGTTCAGAAACTAGATAAAAGATTAAAATAGCTGTGGTATACACGTACAATAAGTATAAAAACTCAAAAATGAGAATATATATTAATTACGGTTATACAGATAATATTTTAAATTTAATACATAAATATCGATATAAAAGCTGTTACAACACTTTTAAGTATTGTAGTAGCTTAAATGCGACCTAAATTTTGTAGAAACTAGTACTGATGATAAACATTATTCGAAATATTGAAATAAATTCTATAACTTTCACTTACATTACCGTACCTCTGCAGCTGCTGAATTCTATAAAATTATTTTATCTATCGCTTAATGAAGAATTTCATTATTTTTCGATTTACTTGTCCATTCAGCTCGATACACGTATATTACTTCGTTCATTTTCACTAACTATTTATTTGAGTAAGAAAATGAATAATTTGCTATAATAAGGGTTAAAAATTGAAAATGGCTGGACAGATTACAACCTGTGTAGAATGTGAAAATTACTGTACCCATACAAATAAAATGTTACTGTAAGTTTTGCACAAAATGGTGCAATACTATCATATTTTACAGGATATAGATATATACACACTCGAGATATTTATAGCTACTTTTAGCTAATTTTACAAGAATTATTATTAAAGGTAAATCATAATCACCTACATTTCTAGCTATAATTATTGCTATAAGTATATATTACTAATCGTTTCTAATATCGATAGTAACATTACTATTGCAGTTTAATAGCAGACAATCCTATAGATGGTGGACTAGGTATTCGTAATTTGTTGATCCTTTCTACAACGATGGAATTAGATCTTTCCGAATGGTTATTGGATTTCATTTTGTATTACTTTCCTTACTGACTAGTTAATCCCAAGGATTCTTGCTTATTTTTGGATGCCGTTCTAAAAATAACATCATTATAAGTCTTGTATATTCGATATTAACTACTGTCACTATCAGTTATGTATATCCAATGTAATATTAATAATCTAAAGTAATTGTAACATTTTGTTTATTGTAAATGCTTTGAGAATTCAATTAGTTTACGCAAAGATGCGTTATAATCGTTACCATTTTTTGTGCTCGATGATTTTCGTCGTTGATTTGCTTCATCATCACTGTCAAGAACATGATAACATTAGACAATGCGTGAAAATATAGCAATTGGATAAAATTTAGGTTATTCTTTACATCTTACAAACCTTATCTGCCTTAAATCTTTACGATTAATTCGTACTGGGGCTAGTTTAGGCCCACTCCGGCTTGTTACATCTTCGGTACTTGTGCTACTTTCCGGTCTTGCTGATCGGGGAGGCTTTGCAGACTTGGATCGTAAATCAGATAAATCTCCGCTTAAGCTATAAGTTCCACCCAGCTTCTCTCTTGACGTCGATGATGAAGGCTCTGCTGATATCGTTTTTTCTGCCTTTTGATCTTGCTGTGCATTAAGTGTATCACGAACTTTCTTCTTCATTTCTCGGCTTAAGCGTTTGTAATAAAATAAATCTTTCTCAAGCTCTTTAATTCGTTGGGTAAGTACTCTAAAGGGTAATTTAAATATGATTTAGTATTTAGTCACGTCAAGTTTCGAGTATTATCATTATCTTATTGATCAAAGATGAATAAATGCAAGTATTGGCTTACTCAGTATCCGAAGGAGCAGACGGTTCAGAAGTAGATTTAGATTCTTCTTCTTGATATTTCGATAGTTGTTTCATGAGATGCTGCATTTTTTTTTCGTATTCCTGATCAAAAGGTAGATCATCGATATTACTTATGATTGAATTTACTGCAAAATTCAACAATAGTGTACACATTATTACTAACTTTCTGTTGATACATTAATTTTCTGTCATTTTCATGCTTGGACAACTGTAAGGATAACTCTAATTGTGCAATCGATTTACCTTGTTCATCAATTTGTAGCTATAAATGAAAAGTAAGAGTATATTGAAAATAAGAGTATCATTTATCACTGGTTAACATAAGTTCCTGTTAACTTTAAGACTACCGTACTATATGGCAACTGAATGCCAATTTCTTCCTGGAAAGTGAATTATATTATAATTTAATGAAACAGCTCATATCCTACTTTTAGTTGGTCAATACACTTTTCTTTCCTTTTTTCATCTTCTCTGAGATCGACAACCTGACAAGATCGATTCCTGGTTAAGCTACTATCTCCTTGATAAAGTTGCTAGCGTAAAGGAGAAAAATTTGTTTGGAAATTTTTCGCCTACCTTATCGATATATTTTTGCAGTAATTCTTTGGATTCAATTTCAGAGATATGGTCTAATCTCTTTCTTATGGAATGACCAGACTAAAATTATAAGATACAAAAGATAAAAGTGCAATGGATAAATATCATGAAATACTGTTTGAACGTATTCAAATTCATTAAATAATTACAATTATTAATATATATCTATTGGCCGTCGCTCCTACTAGATATTGAATAATTCATTCCATATTGTATTTTTAATAAATTCTAACTTTTCCTAATTCTTCATCTTCTTGATTGAGAAGTAGTCTCTTCTTTTTCTTGATAGCTTCATTCTTAAACTCGATAGCAGCATTGAGAGCTTCGATGGCTTCATCCATTTCTAACAGTCTGCGAATAATCAAATACAGCATTAGCCTAGATAGACATTACCGATATTCAATGATTCCTTTATGACTGACTGCCTAACTTACTTATGTTCCTCTTCTGGTGAATTAATACAATTGACTCTTAGATTTTCATCCAATTCATTTCGATTCTTTAATAGTTTCTCCCTATTGTAAAGGAAGTTTAAATTTTAGTGTTTTTCTTGTACTATCATTATTAACTTGCATTTATTGGCAATGTAAATATTCATAAACTTAAAGATAAATTTTAGTTAGGATTACTTTTCGTTGTAAAGCTTGGATATGTCGTTTTGAAGTTGTTGGCTTTTTTGAACTAAAAGTAGACAGAAAATAGCTCATTGATAAGTTAAAATTCAAGTGTTTAAGCAGCTAACAACTTATAACTAACCACTCATTCGGCTACTTTTATCGTCAATATCTTTATCAATGGTGTCAATTTGAGTAGATATTCTTAAAATGTCCTGCGTAATTGGTATTTTGGATAGAGAAGGATACAATAGTTAAGTGATTTGAGTACATAATCTTGAAATATTCTGTATATTTCGTATATTTAGATAGTTGATAAGTTTAGGCAGGAAATACTACAACTGATAGATTGTTTTCGTAATTCTCGTAGTTCCAATCGACAGACATCGGGATGATTTCTAACAAACCTTCGAAATAGCTTGACTACTTCGTAGCTTTATTAGTTCTAGGTTGCTTCTTTCCGATAATAAACTTTCCTTATTGGATACAATTTCTTCCCTACGGCGAATTTCCTGTCAAACGTAATAGGAAGTATAAAAAATCGTTAATAATTCATGTTCTATGCAAGAGTAGTAGGATAGATAAGCTTACCTCTTCATAATCTTCCATATCTCTTCTTCTCTGGATTATCTTTTCTACTTCACTATCTAGCCAAGCCTTTTTCTTATTTAGTTCTTCCCTTTCCATACTCGTATTTAATTTCGGTTTAGCTTGTTCTTCCTCATATTGCTGTTGTAATTCCTTCAACTTGTCCTGTTGTTGTCGCAAAGTTTCCTAGTACAGGAGATAAATTATAAGTCAAGGCGTACTTAAAAAAAGATTAACATTTCTTTTTTTACAAAATTTGGATCTTGTCTTACTTCTAGACGAGCTTTTATTTCTGCTTCTTCTTTTAACTTAGCTTTAGAAATGTCTATTTGGGCATGCATTCGCTTAGTTTCTTCAGCATAATTATCAATTCTAGGATGGAAATCAAGTACTCCATTTATTGTCATTTTCATCGGCAAGCTATGCAATTAGATCAATCTGTTTTTTACCTCTCTAAGGTTTCGTGATGAATTGTATTCATATGTTCATATTCCTTGAAAAGCAGAAGGGTAAAAAATATGTTTTGTTATTAGATATGGCTAAATCATTCTTTTGCAATTATACTAGCATATTCTAAATTTTCAACATTATACATACAGCTTGTAGCTTTTCCAGAGCCCTTTGACGTTCTTCGGCGATTTTCATCGTGGTCTGATATTCTCTAAAAGAAATAAACCAAGTAATGCTTATATAGTATATAGATATCCTTTTAAAATATTTACTATAAAGCTTAATGAAAGCTTCTGCATTGATTACTTTTCTAATTTCTTCTTCTCATTGGTATCCTGCTCTTCTTGTTGATCGTAACCATCTATTGCAGCTTTGGCAGATGTTAATTCATTCTGATATTTCTGATTATCCTAGATTCAAGCACAGAGTTTTAAAATATTTGAAGCAACTTAAAGTTAATCGTGAATGCTAAAAGAAGGTAAGTAACAGTAATATGGAAAGCATTGCACGATAATATACCCACCGATTTCATTGTATTTATACGATTGACAGTGGTCTTATTTAAGCTCTTCATTTCGTTACGGCTAGCCTTTAGCTCGTGGATAAGATCTTCTTTAATTCTAAGTATAAACGTGAAGAATGTATTTGATTTGATTAGGCTTTAAGCACTATACTTCTATCATGGAAAATAATTGTTATTTTAAAATACGTCGATACCTTATACTGGTAGAGAGAGACCGAATTTGATGTTGATAATCCGTTAAACGAGCCTGTGATTCTTTAAGATTAATTTTTACTGAATCTGTATTGAATTGTAATTGATTAACGCTTTTTCGAAGGGTCTTTTCTAGCGAATCTTCGACGATGTATTCATCATCTATAAAATAAAGCCATGATCGAATATTATACATTTCTCACATATGAAGTTGGTGCAATGATGAAATAATCGTCTAAAAACGAGTCCGGTACTAATTTGATCGCTAATATTACGATGAAATAGGCTAGGTTAGGTTAACAAGGTAATAAAATTTTGATATTTCATGAAAAATAATATACAATATTCTATAAGTACAAACTCTTCTCAATTTATGCTGAATTTTAGTATAATATTGCATAAAGTTTCAGTCTTGGAATCATTTTAAAACTAATTTCAGTTAGCTCAAACTGCAACAGTTATCCTTGCTTTAAGAGATATCCAATACATGGTTGCAAAGAAGTATTTAAAATTCGCTAGGTAAATTAGAGTCATTAAAATGTTCTGGCTACCTCGAACTTTTTACATATTCTATGCAATATGAAATAAAAGTCAAGCAATAAATCGTTCAATCTCTATTGAAATAGAATTAATGGAAAATAGTATGAAATTAGTAGAATATAACCTATGCTTCTATCTTTCTCTGTAATAAATGGTGGAGCGGAATTAGAAGGTGGAATATCCACGTTAGCTTTTGATTTTGGTACCATTTCTGATTCTTTTTGAGCTATAATCCTATTATTTTGCATGTAAAGATGGTTAGCCTTGAATAAAATGAGCTATCGTATATCTATAGATGGATAACATTTTAGCGGATCAATTTACCTATACAGATAGCGATCTTTTTGCTGAATTTTTTCAAGTTCTTCATCATCGATATGATTAGGTCTTAAAACCTGCCAAAAGTCGACAAATATCCAAATTATAATCATTTTTTGATGTATGTTGAAAAAATTTGCTCATCTACCTCGTCTTCATCCTCAATTCTGGATTCAAGTATCCGACTACGCGCTCGAAATGTTTGTAACATTTTATCGCCTGACAACTATGTGATAAAATAAATTAAATTATATTAGTACGCCGATCGACTTTAGACAGACATGAAGGTTATCAATAGCAATAATTCTTCATTCTTTTATCCTAACCACTGCTGGACTACTATGCAAATTTCTTGTCGTTGAGCTACCAGAGCGAAATTTTCCCTGTGATATTGAATGAAACTTGTGTTAGATATAATCACGTCGATAACGAGTAGGAGTCAGTAGAGGATTCGAAACTCCAATTCTAGCTACGGTACAAGCTACGCAGAAACATAGTAGACTTTGGCTAAGATAGAACAAAATCTTGTTTAGATTTACCTTTGCGGGTAAAGGTTTAATATCATCATTGCATGGCATCGAGCTTGATCGAAGTTGCTTGGGTAGATGGTGATATTGAACATTTTTATCTTGGTCATTTTCCATTATTTCTACATTTGTGAATACCGAAGAATCTTCCGGATTTTCATCAATTAATTTCAATTGTAGTTCTAAAAGACGTTGCTCTAAATTCTCATTCTGCCTGTGAGAATGCTCTAGCGCTTCTTTATATTGTTTGTTTTCCGTTTGCTATTCCCAATTTTTCCATATGTTATTACGAAATCAACATCGTTATTCATTATAGCTCCATATCGTTGCTTAAAAAATTTATTAAAATATTAATGGCATTACCAGTGATTCTAAGCGATTGTTGGCTTGATCGACTTCTTTAATTTTTTCAGCAAAGATTTCTTCATCGCTTGCTAAATCGGCACGTAACTAGGTAGCGAAAAAATTTATTAAAATTGGACAATTAGTTTTTGAGTTAAATTCATCTTTGACGGGAAAAATGGTTATAAGATCATCATTGCATATACCTTGATAAGCTCTTCACGTAGTTGTTGAATGATATCATTTTGACTTTCTCTATAAAATAGAATCAATGCAGTCGATTCAATAAATGATTAGCAAAATTGTATTCATTTCAAGTAGTTTAAGTGTTCTATCTTGATGGAATTTCATTGAATCTTACGCTAGGTCATATAGATGAACTAGTTGCGAATTATGAGTAGCCAATGTAGTCATACTTTGTAGATAAGTTTTCATAAGAAAAAATGAAATTTTTCTTGAGACTAGTTGCTTTTTGTGCTTGTAATTTTCCTATGTTACTTAAGCTATTTACTATACTCTCGAAGTAATTTTAGCAATTTTTAGTGCAAACTATCAGAAATAGGCAATTAGCAAGTTTGCTACCGGGCAAAGAGGACAAAATTTGTTCATTAATTATTGTTATAATCGTAAAAGATTAGTAAGAGTACACGAGAATAATTGGCTAACTGAATTAGCTTCTATTATACTTTTTTGCGGTAGCAATTGAGCAGAAACACCGGTATCGCAGAAATTATACTATTTATACGATAATGTTGATATGAGCTACTATTTATGTAATAGATGATTTAGTAGTGCACCGAGATTCCGAAGTAGCAGTTATAAATTAGGTTACAAGAGATCACTTGATATAAAACTTAATTATACTATGTAATTTTGAGTTATGGGTGTGAATATAATAGAACAAATAGGGATTAATAGGTTTAAACGCCATTATTAATACTGACCTTACTGGAAGAAAGCCACTAATTCTGACCTTTTCCTCCTTTGGTATTAAAAGTGTTTTGGAATCAGTTAGAAAGTTGTTGATAGGTGAAATTATAACATATAATGATTACAGCTTATTTTGAAGAAGCGCTAATGGTATTTATGTCACGTTACTATCGTTATGTGCATTGGCATACCCGTTTAATTAGGTCTAACCAGCTGTTCATTTTTGTTTGGGATAACATATCGGAAGATGGTTCATTCTAGAAAGAGATAAATTCAATAACTAATTTTATTCGTTGAAATCAATATGGCGGTTTCATTTGGATAAATAGCATAAATTGCGGTAAATGAGCATTATGGCCAGGTCGATAATTTAATTTCTATTCGAAATCTGATCAAGATTACTTAGCCAATGCGATAGTTTACGGCTTACTCAGATATGATATGTGAGATTGTAAAATATGGTATATGTTAATTTTAAATGATTACTTCTTTACAATTAGTTTCTTAATCGTCATGAATGAGTATGGAATAACATTTACATACTTCTTCCAAGTCAGAAAATATATTTTTAGCTTCTTTGATGCACTCATAGTAAAAGATACAATCGTTTCTGTACCTAGAAGAGACATAGAAAGCTTAAATAAGTCTTAGGATATTAAATCAAGTATCAAACTATAGCGGTTATTAAGTATATCTAGTGATAATCGCGCATAGTAGCGTAATATACGACCATAAAAATATGGATAACTATAATTATTTCGTCAAAAATGTATCGAAGAAAGTCAAAAGTGTAGGAAAGCACAGTTATTTAGAAAGATTTACTTATCCAGTTGTGTTTCTAGAGTTTGTATTTTCTTCCCATCTTCTTCCGTCAGTTCCTATTAAAACACCCAGTATAGAATTAGTCTAGATTTCAATATCTGTACAGAAATCATGGTAAAGGCAGCTAAGATGTCTCATATGATATCGTAGTGGTACGGTAGTCGCGATAGCTATTAATATTACACAAGGCTTGACTTACTTCTGTTTCTCCTTCAAGGTGTTTTCGCTTTTCTAATTCATCACGTAGTGACTTAGAGGTTAATCAATAAATGAACTAATTATTTTGTAGTCGCTATAATGCCATGGTATTAAGTTATTTATCAAGAACTTATTTTAAGACGATAATGTTCAAGGATATACCTGTATTTCGGATTGCATTTCAGCTATTTTTAGGGATCGTGGATCGATGTTGACAATTGGTTTGTTTTTAATATTGCGAGCCTTGGACATTTTTGAAATAATCTTAGAGATTAACTACATACTTGGCACTCAACTGATTTTATATTTTTACCCTGTTTGCGTAATTTAGTGCGTTTAAGCTTTCAGCGAAGTTACTTGAGGCCGGACTGAGACAAGTTAGCATTAACGTTCGAGAATTACCACCCAGAGAATCCTGTAAATAATATTCATATGTTAATAAATAATATGCCAGATATTAATATTATTCAATAAAGAATGTTATTGGTCGAAAAGCTTACTTTCAGCAATCGTGTTAGTTTAGAATCTCGATAAGGAACATGGGCATACTATAAGTATAGCAGATTATATAATAATTATATCTCCTTAAAGCGATTTGTCGTACAACTTTAAAATTATCAAACCTTTTTCTTCGAATCACCTAAAGCACTGATTACATTACCAAGAGCAAGTAATCCAGAATTGATATGAACAGATTCTAGTATTATAATAAGGAAACGCATAGGTTATGAGTCAATGACTTAATTTATTTTTTCTCTACTTAATATGGATATCGTAAGTAAAGATGCATACCTTTAAATCGAAGACCTGCAGTACCGGCTTTATGGGAACGCTCTGAACCAGCTAAGTCAACGAAATGAAATTTCGAACACATGAAATGCGGTTCGTTTCTGTCTTCTGCTATTAGATAAAAGATGAGAAAGATTATAAATTTCTTTATTTATCTGTTCTAAACAGGCTAGTTGATGTTTTGTAGCTAGATAATGGTATATATATATATATATATATGTTAAACTGTAGAATCAAGCTATTATTAATGCTGTAGATGGAATACCTTGAATATCTCCATCACTTTCATTTTGATGAGATAATAAGATTTTAGATCGATAATTTAATTTCCTAACTCCGTTCCATCGTTGTTCTATTTTTAAAAAAATGGCATAAATCAAGAAATATTAAGCCTTAAATTGAATCTTCTGGCTATTTAAAGTTGATATATGATGGCTTTATAAGCAGTTCTACCGATAGTAACTGTGAAAATGCTATGAGATCGGCTAGACTGTTCATTCATAGCGGTAGCACCGGTGTGACGGGCTAGGGAACCGACGTCTAAATAATGTAAAGCTTCTTCAGCTGAGTCAACATTTTCTTCTCTTGCTCCAGTGACAACTGTAAAATAGAGATATTCTCGAGGATTAAATTAGATTGTAAAGATTGCTTGAACTATTTAAATATGATTCTTTAAGCAAATAGCTCTTTCCTAGCAACTAAGGTGATGAAGTTATTAATTTAGCTGTTTGTAGAAATACCTGTATTTCCATGGCTGTCATCACGAATATGCATCTCCTTTCCCACCGAATCGACATCAAGAAGGTCATGCATTTCTTCTCGATAGATTTCGATATAGGAGACTTTCATCTCGATATCGATAGAATTTGCCTGATGTTGCACACACGAATAATTTAGAAAAGTAATTTAAATGGAATGGAGCGTAATATAGCTGTATACTTCAGTTGAGTACCTGAATTACTTCGAAGATTCTTTTAATTGCCCTGGAAATAATCCCCGCTTCTTCTTCTGATGTGCCAGCTGTATTCGCTCCACCAATTGTATAAGTTTTACCAGAACCCTATCATATCGGTATACAGTACCCATTATGTGTATCATTTAACGTTGATACTAAAATTAGTGATTGTGCATATAATAATTATAAAATGAACTATATATTGTTCAATTTCGTAAAAAAAATAACTCACAGTTTGTCCATATGCAAAAATGGTTACATTATAGCCTTCAAAGCAGTTTTGTAGCAATGGCTCAACACAGTTTTCAAAGAGCTCAGTCTGGGTAGTGCTTTGTGAAAAGGCATAATCGAATGTAAATGATTTGTTTTTTCCGATGACCACTTGAGGCTGATTTGGAATAGACCAAATGCATTCATCGTAACCTTGCAATTTTTCCTGTGGCAGTAATGGTCTGACCTGGTAATATTTATAGGAATAAATATTAGTAAATGTATGGAAATATACAGCAGAACGGCATTTCTTTGTGTTCAAGCTAGCAAAGTTAAAACTAATTATTTACTGATAAGTTAAACTTGTAGTGCTTTCTATGCTATTGTATATTTCTGCCAAAACCATACTTGTATACGCTGAGGCAGAAAAAGCTTTTAAAGTATAATTTGAAGGTATTTAGTAAAGGAAGCGATTTTCATAACAGAACGTGTTCTTGCAGTTATGGTTTCACCACATCATTTGCAATCTTAGTCATATCTCTTAAAAATCGTATGTGGTGATGTTTGGCGATTTTTTTATCGTTTAAAAATAAATGCTCGTATTGCAGAATGTGTTCATACAGTTATAATGTCATTATATAACATGCAACCATGGTTATATCTTTCAAAATCGTATATTACGGTTTTGGCAATTTCTTCTTTTAAAAGTAAATACTCGCACTACGACCAATGCTTGTAGTCTTTATTTTAAAGAGTTATTATTACAAGGGTCAAATAGAGGTTTAAGACAATTATCACGATAGTGATAGTTTCAATTAAAGTAATCATGTTAAACTGTTTACGAAATGTTGTTATTAAAATGGATAGGTTATATCACGTTCTATGGCAAGGATGTGAAAGACAATTGTTGCCAGTAGTTTATTGCGATATTCTGCGGCAATTAGAAGATATTACTATTGCAGTAATGGTTAGATATTTGAATGAATTTACTTTGCGATTAGATGAGTCATTTTGAACAGGTGCAAGATTATCATAATCATATAAATGATATTATTCTACCGTATATTTTGAATACTTACTCTGACAGCTACTCGAACCGGGACTTCTGTCGACATATTTACTCTTATTGGAAGCTATTTTACCGTAGCTGGAGTTCTAGAGTAACAGACACTTCTTGCTGATCACCAATAAAAAGTTAAGCTATCCTTTGCTGACATTATTCCTCTCCATTAATTTCTATAATTGGTATGTCTATATTGCGCAAAAGATGATCTCTATATACAGCATAGTGTAGCGTAGACGGTTATATAGACGCTTGCAATAGCTGGAAAGCCTTAGAAGCTGTACTGTAACCTTAACAACCGACGGTTCCGTTCTCTCTGGATCAAGGTTAATGTGCGCACGCGTTATCGGTTGCACTTTTCCAAAAGGTCTTCAGACATCCGGACGTAACCCACAAGCCACCATCATCACGAACCAAGCTATCACCTTGTTGCAGTTCCTACTAGATCGGTTGGTGAGAGAGATTTAGACATTTCTTGGAATAGAAGTGTGATTTAAAGGCATTCAGTGGTAAATTTGAATTTTATACGATTACATGATTTAGAAGGTAGTACTAACTATACCTTATTCATCGATGATCCTTGTCAGAAGTCATTGTTGGACAATTCTGTCCGATGGAATCTTCTTGTATTAATATCCTATAATTAATGAATTTAGTTTTAAGGATGGATAGCCAGTATGCCATCAATGGACGATTAGTGGAAATTATAGATGATGAATGGAAAAAGGATAGTTTACCTGTGGAGCACGTACCTATACCGCTCAATCAATTACCGAATGATGAAGGTGAAAATGAATTTTTGAATACATGTTCGCTATCAACAGGCACAGATGAAGAGAAGAAATGGACAGATTCCAATGTATTGTTAGAAAAGTTGCGTTAATTAATATCGTTATGATTGGATATTTATCTTAACCGCAAGTGTTGATATACGAGGTATCATATGATCTCTCTGTTTCTATACTTTTATGTGGTCATGAGCGAATGCCATAATGTATTCGTTGCTTGTTGTCAGTGGTTGTGTAGACGATAGCTTTACGATATGCTTAGGTTACAAGCCGTTAATTTAAATCGAACCACTGTATCTAGCAAAGTAGTCATGCATCCAGAGATGTCTATTTTACAGTTGATGCTTGTACAGTACCTCATATTAGTTTTCAGCAACTTTTTAAATTGGGTAGAATACACTTAGTACAATATTAGGGCTCATCATTTACGAACATAAAATGATATCCTGTGTACGTCTCTTGCATCAATTGGCTTATCTCTTGTGATATAGATCTGTAAATAACTAATTTATAGATTGTGCCCCGTCTGCTCTAGCGGTAAATCTCCCGGAGTTTATACGGTACTGTCGCGGATATTACCTCAAATTATGTTAAAGTTCGAATAGAATGAATGTCATCGGATGTAAATAGATTTAACTTGTATTTTCTTTATAATACCTATGTTATAAAATTGAATTTCGTTGCAAGGATGCTGTTTCTTAAATACTGAGTCAATGAATATGCTTGATATAAGGGGCTTTATTTATCGATATCTAAGGTATATCTATAATCTTTGTAAGTTCTTAATTGTTATTGCCATTAAATGTCTTTCTTTGCTGACTATGGATAAAAGTGGAATCTCGTAAAATCGCAATATTGCATTGTAAGGTTATAGTGATAGTTCGTGTACAGTAATGTGTAAGTTTTTTTTAGAACGTGATTGATTACCAGCTGGTCGATCGGAATGGGGTATTACTAAGTCTTGTTTTATGGTTGTAGTGTGCCTTGTCATTATTTTAGTAATGATTAAATCAACTACTGGGTGAAATTCGGATTGCCTGTTATAGCTACAGATGTATCTATACACTAAACAGTGTACAGCCATGTCGTGCATTTAACTAAATATTAAGACAGTACACCGGTGTACAGATAACTATTATTACAAATGCAATTTTTTGGCAGTGGTATGCAGGTACGAGCAGTCGTCATACTCTATCGCCTTGGATACTGGAAAAGTTAACGACCAGTAGACTTCAATGACTTGATTGAAAGTGTCTAGGATGGAATGGTTTGGAATAATTCTAGAAATAACTCCAGCATTTTGTTTTGCAGAGAAACTACTTCAGTTGCAGCCTTCACAAGTATTACCCCCAAAATATATCGTATGGCGTACTTATTGATCAAAGGCAGGGCTAGAAGGAGTCATTTTAAGGGAATCCTGTAGGCTTTACGGGTCCCTTGCTAGGAAATTCTAGACTCTTTACTCAGAGTGCATTACAGTATAATACAGGCCAGGCAGCGTTGCAGTGGAGTCGATGTGATATCGTATCCATATCCATTTCGCCGTTTTGTATTCTCCATCTTGGCACTTCCTCCGGAATTTAAAGTAATGGTAAAGAGTCTATGGTGTGAATGTACCTAGCATTACTATAATCAGTAATGTCCTTGCAGCAGAGACACGGAATCGGCCATGGAGATATTGTAAAAATGGCTTCAATACCAAATACTTGTCTATGGGATTTTTTTCTTACTCTCTGAAATAACTATACCGCTATCCTAGTATGGCTAAACATAATGTTTGTCTTTATCTATCGATGACATTCGCCACTGCAAAGAGAACGCAAATGATTACTCGAAGGCAAGATCCAAGAAGAAGCGTGCACTATGCCAAAGGTCTGCGTTCATTACACCTTGACTGCTAATGTATAGTTGTCTATGCATTCTAGTCATCACAGATCCCCTAAGCAAGAGAGACACACTAGAGAAAACTCAGGCAGTTTTTTTGGAACAAACAACATCATGTTTTATGGCTGTATAGTACATTACAATTGTGTCGTTTTGTTTATTTCTATTTCTGCGAAACAGAAAAGGGTTTTCCTATTTTGTTGTACGTTTATGGTACCAGTCCAACTGCTGTACACTAACTGATCTACATAGTACCATATTTATAGAATGGCTGATACTCTTGTTAAGCTTGTTTTCACAGCGCAATTCGAGAATGGATCGATGCATACTAGAAACCAGAAGAGGCTCTGTTTGAATGCGAACTGTTGTTATATCGTTGGACAAGGGTAATAATAATGCAATATTGAAATAGTTCATGGCTGTATTGTCATAACGTTAGACTAAGAATTCAATATAGAAATAATATAATCCATTACTATATTATAATGACCATGACTGAGAATTCAATACTGGAATAATTCACTACAGGACACCATGGTCATGATACTAGCCAATTTTCAGGGTTGCCAACAATACTATTGTGCTTAACAGTGTACTGCATTTGAAATTTTAAAGGAGCAAAAACTATGGAGTCCAATGCAGGACAGTAGTGGTTAAGTTGTTGACTCTCTCCAATGAACTTGTCTTCTCCACATTACTCATAGTCACAAGTGTCCTACCCAAGCATTTGGTAGTCATTTGCATAGGCTAAGGCTCGCTCTTGCGCTCTTTTTTAGACCTCGATAGCATTTTTGAACACGATATTTACAGTAAACGCCTGATCTGAACAATATTGATATCGTGATGCACCCATCCTAGCTATGCATACCAATCAAATATAGCTATGCATACCAATCAAATATAGCTATCAACACCAATCAAATATAGCTATCAACACCAATCAAATATAGCTATCAACACCAATCAAATATGGGTGTATTACTAGGCTAAGGCTCGCTCTTGCGCTCTTTTTTTGAACTCGATATTTATAGTAAACGCCTGATCTGAACAATATTGATATCGTGATGCACTCATCATAGCTATGAACACCAATCAAATATAGCTATCCTTATAATCCAATATAGGTGTATTACTACCATTTCTGACTGGACTACCCTGCTAAAAAGAAATAGCAATCGAGTTTCTTCCTCCGCCATTGATTCAATCCGCTAGGACTGGTTTGAGAAATGATAAGTCTGTGCGCGGTAGTCATGACTCTACCCCCCCTTCCCAGGTAGTGAAGCGCTATTGAGTATTGACTCAGCGTATTGTACGTTGTGCGTCAGTTGTGACAGACAACTGTGATTAGAGTACGGTTGACAGCTCGGTTCTGCGTAATGATTGGTGAAACCCTCCTGATAACTGGTACAGGTCACCTTGATTGGCTCACGTCATGCCGCCCCCGCCTCCCTCTAGTAAAGTCACTCGCACCTTTGTACTGAATCTTCTTCATTAACCGTGAGAGAACATCTCAAAGTGGGGGAAAAAAAAAAAAGGCTGAAAAAAATCTTCTTGACTACTTGAAGATTTTGAGGTGGAAAAATTCAACTCCAATCCTGCTAGTCTACAACGCTAAGTGGATTTAAGATCGATCGATCCATTCTTGCTGTTTAATTTTGTATCGAATTGATCGTTGACTTGATAAAACGCCATGTCCAATCAATCGACCGCAGTTCTATTTAAGAAAATTGTTGAACAACTAAGCAAAGAAGCTAAAAATGAACGTCTCAAAGTCTCTGAAACAGCCAAAGAGTAAGTTGACGATAAATAGGCAATGGATTTTTTTTCTTCTTCGATACAGGATAAATGAAGGCATGGTCAATCTCTTGATCTTTGAAAAGTTATTCAACTGTAGTTAATTGTGTGGAGAAAACAATACCATACTCTCCTAGTAGATTGTCTTCGGTGATATAACCATGGATAAACATTGACAGTGCTTTTCTCCATCTTGGCTTTGTTTCTTCATTATATTGTATGCGCAACATATTATTTAGCCTAGTGCCAAAGTACCCCAACACTAATCCCCACCGACAATGGCTTACCTTTGATCATCGCTAATACCCTATTGACTAGCGTGCTTTCGATACTGCTTCTCATGCAATATTAATGGTGGTACAAAGAAATCGAGACAGTGAGTAAAAAAAAAGAAGTACAAGCAACAACCCAATTGGATTGATGTAGTCAGTAGTAGGAGCCATCATTCTTAATTCACTCGTTTGTTCTCAGCAACAATGTTGCTATTTCGATCAGACTACGCTTAAGAGAAGATGGCGTTCCATATTTCCAAGTAGTTGATAGGAAAATAACAACATGATCAACTTGACTAATAAACTCGAAGCGTCATGACAATGCTGTCGCTTGTAAGGGGGGGGGGTTAAGATTCAGTCGCCAGTACGAGCATAGGATGATGTAGTTCATTGCGTAAGTGTTGATGGCTTTCGAGTATCATCATTTACCTTAATGAACTTTTAACGTCCTTAAAAAAGCCCACCCGACTGAGGTACTACGTACACGAGTGTCTTGCCATTGGTGAAGGACGCGTATCATATATCACTCATAACATGATTAATACCATTAATCGACTTAGCGATCTTAGTAGATATCATATAGACTTGGGACTGCGTCATATTTGTAAGATGATTAGTATCAAATTCATTTCATTTTTGAAGAAGAATGTTAATATTGTTCTAACATGATTAATTCGCATTAATAAACTGGAAATGGCCTAAAGACTCGGTTGCAACTCAGCAACTCTTGCTAGGTCTATTACAACAGGCTAATAATTCGAAGTCATAATCAACTGGCATACATTGACTTGTTTTTTCGTTCTACATTGAAATACTTTAGTTCTTAATTAAATGTCGAGACTCGAGTGATAGGAAAAGCGAATGAGCTGTTGATTTCGAGATTGTGCTGTCGATACTTTCTAAATTAATGACACTCTTTCAATCACGAGGTACTGGAATTTACTTCAATAAAAGGGGGGTGTCTTTCCAATTAGGAATTCGAAGAAATGATGCTTTACTTTTACATTATATTTCATCACAGATTGAAATCAAAATCAATGTATAGCTATTGATAGAAATACTTTTACAGTAATTGTCCTTGATGGTAGCAGTTGCTGCTAAAACACACTGCTTCATTTTCACTAAGTGTAAATTCGAAATTTTAGTGGCGCTTGAAAAGAATACTCTTTGTGATGGTTGTAGTCAGTACTACGTTTAAATTTTAATCAGAATGATCTAGTTTTACTGCATTCAATGCTAATACGTACTGTACTCAGTGTACTGTACAGTATGCTGCAAACTTTTAATGTACAGGAGTTGTACCATATTTCAGCAATTACTGTCGTATAAAGTTGAAAGACTGATGCACAGCATACGTACGCATATGTTTGAACTTTGGGAGTAGACAGTATCCATGAAATACTCTTACATCTTTCAATGGATTTACAATGCTTCGGTGATTACTGCCTTATTTAACTCTATAATGATCGTAAATCTTCATCACAAATATAGTACTGTAGAAACATCATGGATTTGGTGTATTTGCGGAGTACTGATGATGAAATCAATTCTCTATCGAATAAAAGCTATGTTATGCTTGAACAACGAGTAGGATCTATAAGATTAATTCAGGCAAACTGAATAAGGCATAAATATGGGTACTCGAGTATACAGTATACGGTACTCATATTGATTATAAATATAATTAATTAATTTGATTATTATCATACTTGGTAAGCGTTGTTTTCAACAATCATTTTCACCGTACTCTAAAAATGAAGCTGTTTGTGGTATAGTAACAGTGACGTAAGAGGAATTCTTTTCTTATTATCGTACAGATTCAGCGAGTAAACGAAATTTAACGCTAGGGGTATCTTCATCGTCTGTGATTGCATTAAACGTATAAAGATCTTCTGATAATACTTTCTATTTTGAATCTTTCCTAAAACACTTTATCCTTGATTAAATAAATTAAATTTAGTGGTGTACTATATATATATACAGTATATATATATATACGAGTATATCTACATGTAACTTGTTGATGGACAATAAGAAATTGTAGATACTATAATGTTGTTGAACAATGTGAAAGTGGCATAGGTAAATACAGTATCAACTATTAAACACTAAGAAAAAGTTTATAACTTATCTATAACTTATACAAGGAAGAATTAAAAAATTCATCATATGCAGTGCGCATTAGTGCATCATTTTCTCACAAAATCTTCTTTTTCGTCATTGTACTATCCTAACTAATAATTATATTATTAATTAATTATTAATAATTATGAAATATTCCTGCATTTTTTCATATTCGTGGGACCTTAGCTACCTTCAACCCTTTCATTGAATTTTATTGTATACTAGATTGGGTAGTGATAAATAAATAACTTATGAACAAGGAATCTTTTATAAAGATCATAGTGTATAAAATCAAAGATATTCAAATGAAATGCTGAATAAACTTGTTACTCAATATGCGCTTACTGCATTTTTATTCTGTGCCTACTATGTATTTTAGTGCAACATTTAGAATTAGTCATATATACAGTATGGTACCTATCAGTCAATAGTTAATTCATTGTAACTAGAAACTGTACATATTAGATATTATCTGTAGTCCTCATTTATTAACCATAATTTTATTGTATTTTATATTATTTATTTATGGCTGTCTCAGTTTGATACAATATTGCTCTCATCACGCAGCTGGCGATCCACTTGTATCTGGAGTACCATATGGTGAGAATCCGTTTGTGGAGAAAAGTCGTTGTACCCTGGTGTAATCTAAAAAGATACTGTGGAAACTCATATCAAGGATTTTGAAATATTTGAAGCCTATGATCGTATAGTTTTAAATGTTAGAGCTGATATTTAACATTTTCCTTATATCAAACTACTGCTATTAAATATTTTAGTATTATGGCTTATTTTGTATGCTAATTATTAATTGTTTGCTTAACTTAAACGAGACTATCATCAAAATTGTTTTCAATAGTGTCCGATATTACGTCTGTTTCACACACTCTTTTATGAACCTGCTTATATCACGGTATCTAGGTCATAGAAGTAATAAAAGAAATACAATAAAGAACGTGTATACTACGATTTATTGACATCGTAGTCCGCTCCGTAATGGCTTTGACTGAGTTAAAGTCGATTTAAGAAACTTGCTTTTTGCATGATTCCATAGACTGACCAGTGCCTTGATTCTGTAAACATTTCCATGTGTTCTACCGCTTTTTTTTTAACTTACCATTCAGTATGTATCTAGATGTGTTTGTAATGATACAATATAATTGAAGGTGTACCAACAGAAATAAGATGCTATGTTGCTTGAATAGAAAGTAAAAGCTGTTGAAGGCACGTGCAAGAACGATGCCTTCAGATTATACTTGTGTGTTCTTATAGTCTGCATCGTTGCAAGTGAAATACATAATTGTTCGTTATGTTAAACAATTTGATTCTTTATTAGAGTATTGAAAAATCACAAACTATTTGCTGTTTTCTTACCTGTGGTAGACTACATGTTATTAAAAAATAACCGATTAAAGCTTGACATGCTATTACTTAACGTCTATACTAATATCCTACTCCGCTCAATGTTATCAACGATAATTGTTTCTAGATATGAGTGGGCTAATTCAAGCAATATCGAAGTCATGAAATGAGCTTCAGCATTTAACTTCATTCATATATGGAACACAAAATCTTTGAATTACTGTACAATTTAAGAATTCGCTTAGTCTCTGACAAAATCAAGGTTTGGCCACTTGTTGATGATAAATGCAGATGTTTATATCTCTACAAGACCTTGTAAAAGCGGCTGTTGGAACCGTTAGTTAACAATACCTAAATTGAAGCGGTTTTGTTTACTTGATAAGTATGATGTCTTTAGCTTCGTTGATACAATATACGTAATAGCGATAAAGTGTGCCCAATATCATCAAATTTTTTCCAAAGAATTTGCGATTAAATTTACAATCATTGAAATTGAATAATTCAGAAGTGGTTATATTACAATTGAGACTGAATAGACCATGGATAGGTTATTCTAGTATCACATTTTAAAATTAAAACCATCAGCATCAACAGCGTAGTGGATAGACTTTTGCTATAGGCACTAGCTGTTAGTGAATTGCGAATCACGACGAAATGTGGTGATTATTGCGGCGCTGTTTTATCCATCTCAAAGTCGTATCATTATAAAAACTAATGTAAAAATCCGCTGGTTTTATTTCACGTATTGTGCCATCGAGGTTCGTAGTGTATAACAATTCCGACGCAATTTACAACTTAATATCAATCAAGTCTACGCTAATTAATGAACTATGAGATAAAGTATGAGAATACTGAAAATACAGTATTAAGTGAGAAGGGAGTCTACAGTACAGTGTAACTGGCATGTAATGACAAATTTTAATAAAATCGCACAAAAAGCGTTTAATCTATTTTACGAGTAGGTTTTATTTCATATACGAATATCGTTGACCTATACAGGTACTGAAATTGAGATGAAATTAAAAAAATATTTAGAAACAGAATCTTTGTTAGTACGTTCAATCATATAAGAATAATTCTTTATCAATTTAGGAAAGATAGTTAAAAAAAGTGTTGGGTTGATATACGCGTACTGCTAGCAATGTCGCTATGAAGAAAGGGATTTTACTTTTTACACAGCGCTATCTTACTATTCCTATTAAATCAATCTTAGAATATAAAATTATCGAAATCGATCAAAACCATTTTAATCTAAAGAATTATCTACGAGTATTAATATGAGATTCTTCAAAAAAATAATCATTTTTGATACCTATCGTATCTAAACAAATTTCATTTTGATTAGCAAGAAGGGTATTACATGATACTACTAAAATTTACTATTGATAAACAGATTCATCATTATCTTCATAAAGGGGATTGGTAATGGCTTCAGCTCCTTGGTTTACATCTTCAGAGTATAATGGATTAGTAATGGAAGTTGGTCTTTCCGTCTATAGGGCAAAAAATGGTCATAATTCGTAATATTAATTACTCGACTTGCTTATTTAATAAATTAATACATTGAGAAGTAATTTAGCCTACCGTATCCTCAATAGTATTCGGGGCTTCTGCATCGCCTAGTTGAAATTCCTCTAGAGGCACTTGTTGTTCGTAGGCTTCGTATATAGGATTTCCAACTCCACCTTTGCCCTTTAATCGTGCAGCATAGCTGAAATTGCTGTGAATGAAAGCAGTCATACTTTCTTAATAATACATATATATATAATTGTTTGCATGCATACAGAAACAAAACATAGTAGTCTTGTTGCGACTATTATATTGAATATGTTAAATCAATAATAACTAAAGCAATCAGAAAGCTACACTATTTACTTGCTATACTGTTGTTATTCAAAAAATGTTCACAGTACTTACAATGATCGACGTCTGTAGAAGTAGTAAACAGCTCCAACACCGCCTACAATCAGTAATGTCAGGCAGACACCAAGTGCAACCCAACCACCGGAATTAGCTGCTTGTGGTTGAGTAGCTAAGGCAAAAAAATTTAAATTTAATAATGTCCAAAGATATTAGCTTAGAAATGCTTATAAATTGCAACATGCAATTTATTACTGCTACAATTTACCACAGAAAAATGACTTGCAAATTATTGAAATATATCGTAACTAATTCAAACTTCATTGTATGGCGAATTACTTTTAGCTATTGATAAACATATTCATAGTACAGCATCTTTTCTACAACGTCGCAGTCGAGCATAAATAAATAATAATATTGGCAAGGCCATGATATTAAATAGTACAACGCAAATTATAGAGCTTATTCCTATCTTACTTGTGCAGTTGTATTCATCAGATCCATCAATACAGTCTGTGCTTCCGTCACATGTCAAAGTACTATTAATGCAACCAGCCAATTGACACTTAAACTCGTCCTTGCGACAAGGTCTTTGGAGTTGGCCTAAATCAAGTTATCAAAAATGTTTGTTTGATTTACGGAAGGCTGACATGAAATTTTTCTGATCTTACTGTATTTCTTACTAAATACAATTAAGCTATCGATACTGTGTTAATGTAATACAGTTGTTATGCTAGTATAAAGTCAGTTGATGATCAAGAATGCCTTGGAGATTGCAAATGCCAATGGACGCAATACGGCAATAAATCACACATGGTATATGGAAATAGTCATTCTACAATAAATAAAATCTATGTACGATTTTCATCTTTATCTGACACATTAAAGTTATTTTTTATATAAAATATTTCAACCGATCATCTAGTTATATATTCACGTGTTTATATCCAAAGACACAATAACAGAAAATAGTGAATTGTTGCCTGGAAATTACTACAGAAAATCTGCTTACAATGATAGCCGTAACGCTATAACTTACCACATTTTTGTTCGTCTGCAACATTGTCGCAATCATCTACTCCATCACATCGCCATGAGTTTGGTAAGCATACCAAGTTACCGTTAATTGGACATGTAAAGTTGGTATTTGATTGAGGACATTGACTACCTTGTAGAGGTAACGGGGTAATTGGAGTGCCTATAGTTATTATAGTACAGAAATTTAAATTATATGCATGAATTATTTTTGAGTTACGATATGGACGCCATACAAAGTCAAACATAAGGAGTAAAATTATTAATGTATAGTATTAGCTAAACTAACTGCCCTACTTACATACTTACAAGTAAAAGAGACTATTTCATATCGTATATTTTACAGTTACGGGATATGTTACGTGTATTTAGCTTAAAAATTGTTACTTTCCACAATTGCGAACGAATTTAAAGTAGGTGCATGGTTTAGAGCTATTCTTACTGCAAACCTTAACAAAATTTTCGATTTTTAGAAAGGCTTACCTCCTTGTATACAGCCAGGAGTAAAGCTAACATCATCAATAGCGCTATCACCAAAGTTTCCATCTACAATTCCTTCAAATACGATTCGGTAGGATGTTTGACTACCAATGGGTACGATCGCACGATGCCAACTTGGTCCTAAGGGTTACACAATTCTATTAGTATAGTAGCGAAAATACTTTTATATTGTTTAAAAAGAGCATTGCAATGCTTTGTTGTGTTAAAATTAACTTCATCTTAGCTATTCCATTACTATTAGAAAAATCATATGCAGTAATGATCAACTTATGACTCTACTTCTACGATCAACAAGAGATAAACAATTTCAAGCAGACAACTCGATAAAAAGCATAAATTAGCCCTAGTTTTATCGTTTCAGTAAATTTTTGGGAATTTTAATTATGAAAAGTTAAGTAATGATCAAACTTTGCGACACTGACTATCCTAAATATAGGGGTATTATTGTTGCTATGAATCAAGATACCTTGGTTGCCTGTTAATGAGAACACTTGTCCGAGATTGACATTATTTTGATTTATTAATATAACTCTAAGGGTGCCAACGGAACTGCCATACATATTATAGTAAAAACGCAACCAACATACTCCACTACTTGGTGGCAATACTGGCCCAGCTATTTGTGCGATATCTCCAGGTCTTCGTGGCAAAGATGTCTCCATATATAGGAAAGATCCTGTATCGATATCGATTAGATCATAAATTAAATCCTTTTAGAAATCAAACTAATAACCAAGATTGTGTCATAAATATAAAAATTTGAAAATATAAATATTTTAATTTAAATAGTTGAAATAACCTGTGGATGTAGACTTAGTAGTGTGGTCATTGCCGGGACCGGTGCTACTACTGGGAGTACTTCTGCCTCTAGACCAATGGAAGTTGCCAGAATCTAAATCTGTCCAATCGCACTTACCAGTGTCGAAAGTACAACTTCCTTTTTGAGAATAATAATTGCCTGTAGGTAGGTTAAATAATATTAATTATTAAGTATTTATTTTAATTACAAAAAGCTTTTGAAGATATCAAAGAATTTACTAAAATTATTCAAATACATCCATTATCAAGCATTTACATTAGCACTTACAACTAGTAGTATGTTTACTACTATAGATTGTCAAACTTATTGATAATATTAAATTTGCTTCAGTGACTTGTTAGTTTTGATTGCTCAATACATAAAATTTTGCAGTTAGACTTACCGCAGTTCATTTCATCTGTGCCATCACTGCAATCTTTTTGACGATCACAGCGATAGTAGCTTTTGATGCAGTTGCCGTTTCCACATCTAAATTCTTGTCTGTTGCAATATCTATTCACTATTTATATTATTAATAGTAGTTAATACCAAACGAGTGAGTCTTTATATTCAATAGAAAGACATTGTACACTTATATAAATGAGAGAAAAATTTATAAACGCACCTGTCAAACATTTACTGAATTGAACATCATCAATAGCCACATAAGAAGTTTTAGAATATTGCGTTGAACCGGCAAGTATGATCTTAAATTTGGATTGAGAACCAATATTGGCGATAGCCTTTTTCCATTGATTTTTGGTATCTTGACTAATGTAAGTTAATTTTCTCGTTTCGACTTGGTCTTCAATGTAAACGCCAATGTAACGATGGCTAAGCGATTTCGACATGGCGTACCAAAATGAGATTTGACAATCATGCCCTGAGTTAGCGTATGTTACCGTTTCTAGCATAGCAACCATTCTATTATTATAATTACTTTTGGGTACAACATATAAATAGTGGCCAGGAGTGGTGACTTTGCTATGGTCAGTAGTTGGTGTATTCGGGTTATTAGTATTATTGGCTAGAGTGAGGGTCCAATTCATGCCTGAATTGTATGGAGTTCTTGACCAACCACACCAACCGTTTTCGAAGTTGCATGACGATCCACAGTTTAATTCATCTGATCCATCATTGCAATCGTTATTAAAATTGCATACTTTTCCACGATCAATACATTGAGCTCCGCTAGCACAAGTGAATTGATTGGCGCCACAGCTGCCAGGTTGTGTTGGTGTTGGAGTTGGCATACCAGGAATGGTGCCACCGGGTTTACAACCAGGTGTAAATGAGACACCATCAAGGCCAAGTTCAGAATCGTAACGTCTTCCTACGATTCCTTCAAAAACAACTTGGAAAGGTGAAGAGGTAGCAATCGGTAGGATAAGTTTTTTCCAGAATGCAATAGTATTGTTGCTAGTAGTATAAATTCGCTGTAAGCCATTAGGTGAGTTATAACTTGTTCGTATATAAACATTAAGTGTGCCGATAAATGTTCCCGGTGATATATAGAAGAAACGCACTGAGCAACTTGCACTTTGTGCTGCTGCTTGGAATACTTTAGTGATAAGTCGAGAACTATCACCTGCATTAGCTGGATATGTGTCCCTCAATTTCATATAATAACCAGAAGTAGAGCCTTGAGTAGCATCAGTTTTGATAGCACCGAAAGTTGAGCCTTGCTCTCTTCTCCATGTTGTACCCAGGCTCATTTCGGTAAAGTAGCATAAGCCGTGTTCAAAATCACAACGGGCAACTGCATAATTGGTACATGACGTTGTTTCATCCAAATTATTACCACAGTCATTGCCATAATCACAGACATATTGATTATTGACACACAAACCTCCAGTACAGTTAAATGTATTTGGCGGACAAACACTATAAATTGGTGGAGGTTTACAATTTTTAAAAGTGATATCATCAAGAGCGATATCGCCTTGATAGGATACACCACGTGTAGCAATAAAAACAACTTTGTAATTTCTCCTTAAGCCAATGATTACTTCAGCATTCTTCCATTGACTACCTTGTCCAAGATCTTCAGTCCATAGTACATTATAACCCGTATTTCCAACTTGCACTGCTACACTAAGTGAACCAGTGATAAATCCACTCATATGATACCAAAAGTTAATACTACATTGTTGTCCTGTTGATCCAATAGTTGGTGTCTGCAGGTATGCTCTGTCATTAAATTTTCCAGGCGATGAATCAGCGAAAGCATACCAGCCTGTATTTTTGCCTGTTGTGTGATCAATAGTGGGTCCAGTACTACCTCCAGTTGATGTTTTAGCTTGATGACGTTCCCACTTGTATTTAACTCGGTTAGGATCAGTTGAGCTGCTTACCGGCAACCAACCGCACATTCCATTTTCAAAGTTGCAAGTAGTATTAACGCAATTTGTTTCATCAGAACCATCGTTACAGTCATTGTTAAAATTGCAAACCAAACTTTTATCGACACATTGGCCTGAACGACAACGGAATTGTAATGCAGTACATGCACTTGGTCCAGATGTTGTTGCGCCAGTGACTGGAGGTGTAGGTGCAGTAGGTAAAGCTTGACTATATGGTAAGCAATCTGGCGTTGTGGATATATCATCAATTGCTATATCGCCTGAGTGGCTATCGCCTACTGATCCTTGTAATATAATTTGGAAGTGACTAGATACCGGTAAAGAAACTTGTCCACGATGCCATAAATCGCCTTGGCTACCGCTCTTGGACCATAACTGTACTGTTGGACCATTAATTTGCGTTCTCATCAATACTGACAAGGTATTCACCGTTGATCCATACATATAGTAAAAGAATCGGATGGTACATTTAGTGGTTGTTGTGCGGAAATTACGACTTAATAATCTTGCTCGATCACCAAATTGTTGTGATGAGGCTTCAATATAGAGGTAATGACCAGCAATAGTGCCAAGGGTATGATCACGATCTGGTCCAGTAGCAAAAGAAGGCGTTGGACCAGTTTGCATAGTCCAATCGAAATTGTCTGATGTGTTATCTTGTCTCCAATTACATAAGCCATGCTCGAAATCGCATCTGCTATAAGATTGACATTTTGTGCCAATTTCATCGGTATTATCACCACAATCATCAGTAAGATCGCATAGTTTATTGTTAGATACGCATGAACCTCGACTACATCGGAATTGACCTGGTAGACATGATGATACTATCGGTGGTAGGCTACAGTTATTAAAGCGAATATCATCGATAGCAATAGCACCGTTAAATGATGTAAAATAACGCGCGTTAAATATAATTCGGAATTTAGTTTGTCTTGAAACGATCCCAATTGTTGCAGTATTCCATGATGTACCTTTGTCACCTCGTAATTGTATTAACCTAGTTGCTACCGGTAAACCTTGTTGTTGAAGGTAGACGTCTAATATGCCAGAAGTTGAGCTATGCATCCAATAGGCGAATGATAGCGCACAACCCTGGAAAGCAAAATTGAAAGTTTTAGTTGTGAAATTTGCGTTCGAGTTAGAATTGGGTAATCCAAATGATGATCCAAAACTTCCACCAATAAATGCATAATGTCCCTTAGCTGTTTTGAGCGTATTATCAGTTGATGGACCTTTCGATTCTAAACCTATAGAAGCTGCTACCGTTTTCCATTTAAATGTCACTTTATTAAAGTTAGTATTCGATCCGGTCATGCTGCAATTACCATTCTCGAAAGTACACAATGAGAAACAACCTTGAGACCATTCATCTGACCCATCTTGGCAGTCGTTAACAAAATCACAAACAAGGTTCTTAGGAATGCATGTTCCAGTTGAGTAACAACCAAATTGATTACTATTACAATTATTTGGAACACGAATTGTTGGAGTAGTTAAAGTGGGTGTTGTAGCTCTTGGTGTTCTCGTAACAGGGAAGGTACCAGTGTATTGCTTACAGTCAGGAGTTAAGGATACATCATCAACAGCAATATCGCCTTGATAGTTTGCTCCAATAATACCTTCTAATAGAATCTGCACAGGTTGACTGCTAGATATTGGAACAACAGCTCTATACCATTTTCCTCCTTGATTGCCAGATTTAGTCCAAGCAGTGGTTTCTATACCCCCTATACTTGTACGTGTTTTAACATTTAGCGTACCAATTCCAGATCCATACATGCTGTAGAAGAAGCGTAATTTACAATTGCCATTACTGCTAATTGAAATTGGTTTACTGGCTAATCTGGCTTTTTGACCTGGTGATTTACTAGTAGCATCGATGTACATATAGTAACCAGATGAAGTACCGTAAGTATGATCACGGAATGGACCGGTATTGGATGAAGCAACTGCGCCAGCACCTCTTTGCCAATTAAAATTGTCGTCAACTAATTGAGTCCAACCGCAAGTACCAGCTTCAAAAGAACAACGTTGTTGATAGTTTCCACAGTTCAATTCATCGCTGTTGTCAGTAACACCGCAATCAACAGAATAGTCGCACACAAAATCATTCGAGATACAACCGTTACTAATACTACATTTGAATTGAGAACTACTAGGTGTAGTACACGTTGGAAGTGCGGAACAATTAATCATTTTCAAATCGTCGATTGCAACATCTCCATCAAATGAAGCACCTCGTACACCTTCCATGATCAATCTAAATGGCGAAGTTCGTCGGCCTATCGATACCATCGTCTGCTGCCACGTATTACCCTGACTGCCACTTTTTCCCCATAATTGTGCCATCTTGGTGCCATTAGTAGTTGCAACAAATACATTAAGATTGCCGATTGAGTCACCATACATGTGGCGCCAGAACGAAAATACGCAGGTGGCTGGGGCAAATTGGATTATAGAACTGTATAAGTCTGCAGTATTACCGATAATTCCATTACTAGTTTCGATATAGAGGTAATGACCCGATGATGTTTGCAATGTGTGATCAGTAGCTGGGCCAGTCTGAAAGCTAGGAGTAGATCCTTTGTGACGAACCCAGTCAAAGTTATCCGAGCTACCATTATACCAGCCGCAATTAACGTCAGAAAATATTAATCGCTTTTCAAATGTACATGTGCCACAATTGGCTTCATCGGAACCGTCCGTGCAATCAGTTTTAAAGTCACAAACTTGGTTTTGCTTAATGCATTGTCCATTTGTAGTACATGTAAACCCATTGCATGCTGGAACTGTTGGCTTTGGCACTGTGGTAGGTAGATTTGGTATACTGCCACCAAATTTGCATCCTGGTGTAAAGCTAATGTCATCAATAGCCATATCACTTGCGTATCCTGGGCCGGCTCTACCTTGAATGACAACCTGCATAGCAAATATTGAAATGATTAAAATACCTTGCAAAATCAGTTGGTATCATATAGTTATGCCAAATAGTTACATCTTCGTTAGGCAATGAATTTTCTTCTAATTAATATATATTTATGTTACACATAGATGCTGTATATATGCATAGAATACATTCTACGGTAGATGGATAAGATAGGGCCATAGGTAATTACAGCTACTTGCTATCTTAGATAATATTAATGAACAATACTTACTTGGAAGTTATTGTTGCTAGTAAGAGGGATAGAAACCCTGTACCAAGTATCTCCTAGATTACGAGATTTTGACCATAAAGGAGTCATTGTCCCGCCATAGGTAGTCCAATAATAGACAGAAAGTGTGCCCATGTCTTGGCCATTCATGTTATACCAAAATCTTAATGTACAAGCGGAAGATGCTGTTGCTGGTACTAGAACGGCACTTGCAAGTTTTGCGGTTTCGTTAGTTTTCTGTGGGAATGAGCCTTCAACATATAGATATTTTCCTAATAATGTATAAGACGATAATTTTTTAGCCTTTAGATCAGTAGCATCGCTAAGAAAAAGAAACTGTCAGAATAACTTTGTTTAAAACCCGACCAATTTCTTAACAATAATAGATAACAGTATCTTACCTAAAATATTACCAGTAGTATGATCAGTGCTAGGTCCAGTTGCAGATGATACGGTTTGTCCTTGGCCTACGGTCCAATCAAAGTCATCATTTCCTGTTACTTGAGACCAGGTGCATAATCCATTTTCAAAGTTACACCGGGTGTATGTTGAGCACACAAGCAATGTTTCATCTGTTTTGTCGCAACAATCGTTATTAAAATCGCACTCTAGGTTGGCTTCATAGCAATAGTTATTCTTGCACTTCTTTTGAGAGCCTGGACATGTAGTTGGTGGACTTGGCTTAGCACAGTTAGAAAACTGTAAGTCATCAATAGCAATATCTCCGGTGCTACCAAATCTTGTTGAACCTGTAAATGTTAATTGAAAGCCGGAGGCACATGGAGGAAGCTGGACAGTAGCTTTTTTCCATTGATTACCTTGTGCACCGCTTAGAGTCCATAGTTGTCTAGATGTTAAAGTTGTAGGTGAGCCATAGTTTAGACTTAGTGCGCCAATACTACTACCGTACATATGATACCAGAATGAAAATTGGCAGGCGTTACTTGGACTGCGGAAAATAGGACTGGCTAAGTAAGCTTCATCATTGTTATTTCCGTTGTCTTTTTCAATGTACATATAATAACCGTTGGCAGTACCAGAAGTATGATCAGTGGATGGTCCTGTATTATTTGTTGGAGTTCCTCCTTTGTTACGCATCCAAACTAAATTACCTGATTTAGCTGGTGCTGTCCAACCACATGTTCCTTGCTCAAATGAACATGTTGCCGGGCATTTGTTTTCGTCAGAACGGTCACCGCAGTTATTTATAAAGTTGCAGAATAAGTTGGAATCGATGCAAGTATTGCTAGTAGTACATTTTTGCTGTCCTGTAGAACACCCAGGACTGGTTGGTTTAGGTAATGATAATGGTGTATTTGATATTTGGCAGGATGGTGTGAGCGAAATATCATCGATTGCAATATCACTATTAGTACTATTGCCATTTTTGCTTGTAAATACTATTTGAGCAGCGTTGGCGACATTAATCTGAATGGATGCTTTTCGCCAGATATCACCTTGGTTACCAGACATTTTCCAGATTTGAGTAAGTGGTCCTAGCCATACAGAACGCAAGGATACAGTTAAACTGTCTATATCTTTACCATACATATGATACCAAAATCGGAACATGCAATTGGTTGAGGGTAAAACCGAAAAAGTTGATCTAAGATTGGCCGAGTACCGTTGATTACCGAAATTGGCATCGGAATACATGTATGTACCTTTAGAGGTACCTAAGGTGTGATCAAAATTAGGACCAGTTGTCGAAGAGAAGGAGCCGCCAAATTTTCTGTTCCAGTCAAAGTTGTCATCATCTTCATTTGCCCAGTCACACATAGACGACTCAAAGTTACATCGTTTTTTATAATTATTGCAATTATTCTCGTCTGAGTAATCACCGCAATCGTTAGAGTAATCACAAACTTGTGATGGTTGTATACATAGTCCATTGGCACATTGGAATGAACCGATATTACAGACTTGCGGTGGCGGAAATCGGCAATCCATAAACGAGATATCATCGACTGCCTGAACACTAGAAGTGCCGAACAGCGGCGAAAATGGGGGCTGGTATCTGAATCGTAATTGGAAGCCAGCATCACGATAACCTATGCCAATTGTGTTATTCCTCCAAGTTCTGCTTGTTGTACCATATCTTGACCACAGACTGGTACTAACACCATTACTTATTATGCTTAGTGATAAGCTTCCGCCACTTTTTTGATAATAGAAATATTGTATTTTGCATGTAGCGTAAGCTTGTGGTAATTTACTACTGATCATTACTGATGATCTAGCAAAGAAGATAGAGCTAAGCGATTTTACATACATGTAAAAACCAGATGACGAACCAGTAGTATGATCTGAAGCTGGGCCACCGATAACAGCACTAGCTCGTTTCCATTTATCATTTCCAGAGCTGATATCTTTCCATCCGCAAGTACTGGTTTCAAAAGTGCAAGCTCCACAATTTGATTGATTCCAGCTAGCACATTGAGTAGCTGTTGAAGGTGTTGGGGTTGGTAAAGTACCAGCAATAGTAGTGTTTGGTGCAACGGTTGGTTTATAAATTTTACAATCGGGCGTAAATGATATATCATCAATGGCAATATCACCTTTAGAACCACCTACGGTAGCTTCGATAACAACTGAGAAATAACCTGTACTAAAGAATGAGACCTCAGCTCTTAACCAACTATCACCTTGATCACCTGATTTGGACCAAACTTTTTTCATAGGCGACAATGAAGAGTTAGTATATATATTTAAACTTCCAGTATTAGATCCGTACATATGATAATACAGACGTAATTTACATTTGCCAGTAAGTGTAGGAGCCCAGTAAGTTGAAGATATTTGAGCTTTTTCACCAGTTGTTTCAAAAGAGGAATCAATAGTTAGGTATTGTCCATAACTTGTGCCTAGGGTATGATCGCGTGATGGACCTGTAGATGATGTAAATGTTGTACCTTTATCAAGCCTCCAATTGAAGTCATCGCTCTTAGATTGAACAAAAGTGCATAAGCCTTGTTCAAAGTCACAACGTGTATATCCAAGTGTATTGCAATTGACTTCATCGCTAGAATCACCACAATTATTTGTAAAGTCGCAGATTGTATTGGTTGGAATACAGGAGCCTCGTTGACATCTAAATAAGCTAGAGCTACATGTTGGTTGAATTGGCGGTAATTTGCATTCATAGAAGGAAATGTCATCAATAGCGATATTAGATGGACTAAAGAATGAATTATCTCCTTCAAAAGTAAGTTGAAAACTGTTACTTCTAGCACCGAAATAAACAGTTTGAAGCTTCCATGTATTAGTAGTAATGCCAGTAACAGATGCTAACTGCGTTTTAGGTGCCGGGTCTTCTTTCATATATAGCTCAACTGAACCAGTAACACTAGAGGAGACACTGTTACTTATGGAATACCAAAATCGTATTTCACAAGCTGAACCAGTTGGGCTTAACTTAGGGCTAGTAAATTTAGCTGGCCCAAAGAATGCCTTATCGTCTGCTAATGCTAAGTAATACCCTATTGCTGATCCTAATGTATGATCGATAGATGGTACTTTTTGTGAAGCAGGTGAGCCATAACGTCCTCGTATCCATTTGTATTCGCCATCATTGCCAATTGTATATCCGCAAATACCGCTTTCGAAGTTGCATCGACCACACTTTGCTTCATCGCTTGAATCTTTGCAATCTGAGATGTAATCGCATATCTTATTAGATGCAACACAAGAATTATCATCCTTGCAACGGAATGCACAAGAATTTGGAGTTGGAGTTGGCGTAGTAGGTTGGCAGGCACCATTATAGATGCTGATGTCATCAATAGCAATATCACTTTGCCTAAATGTACCTCTTACAGCTTCGAATACTAGTTGATATGCTTGAGTGTTACTTGGAACACTGATTTGAGTATATTTCCAGTAGTGTTGTTGATTTCCACTAATATTCCATAATTGGCTAGCACTATTGCCATACATCCACAAAACATTCAAGCTGCCCATATTTTGACCATACATAAAATACCAGAAAGTCAAGCATCGCCCACTTGATGCTGGGAATACTTCACTCATAAGTCGTGCTTTGTTACCAGGACGGAGATTATCGGCATTCATAAAAGCATAATAACCTTGTGGAGTGCCTAGCGTATGATCAACCACTGGACCGGTAGAAGATGTTGGAGTTGGTCCCTTCCAACGCTGCCAGTCAGCATTATCTCCTACCTGAGTATTCGACCATGAACATAAATCACTTTCGAAACTGCAACTACCAGGTGCAGGACAAGCACCGTCTGTTGTGCCAATATCATCCAGAGCTAAAATACCAACATTAGCGGATCCGCGTACAGCCTCAAGTACTATTGTGTACGATGTGCCACTTGAAATAGTTACTTGAGAAACTAGCCAATTACTTAGTAGAGTGCCACTTCTAGTCCAGATTTTATTCAATTTACCAAAACTCTTCGTATAGATATTGATGGATCCAACACCAGATCCAAAAGCAACATAATTGATCTTGAGACATTTTGGCCTAGTCGGTGGAAGTTGGCGTGATTCTAAGCGTGCATAATCATTTAATTGTTGATTTTCCATGACTGCATAAATGTAATGGCCAAATTGAGTTCCTAAGGTATGATCGATAGCAGGGCCAAGACCGTTGCTACTGTTACCATTACCAAAAGACCAGTCAAACATATCACTGATATCCTGAGAGTATCCGCAAAGGGTTGGCAGTTCAAATTCACATATTGGTTGTGGTGGGCACCCTTGATAGTTGAACTTGAGATCATCGATGGCAATGTCACTTTGGTAAGCAGAAAAACCATAAGGATGTGTCGATTCCAATACTAATTGGAAAGGTTGTGGTCGAGTAAATTCAAGGACGGCATGGCGCCAGACATTTCCAAGATTGCCACTTCTAGTCCACAATGGTCCAGGTCCATAATTATTTCCTACTTTGATATATAAATTTAGAGTGCCAATTTCTTCGCCATACATATGGTACCAAAATTGGAAGCACATAGATGCAGTAGGAGAATTTGGAGGAATTGAAGCACTAATTAAGCGAGCACGATCGTTTGCATTTCTAGAGGAGCCCTCCGAATAAGCGTACCAACCTCGATTACTATTTAAGGTATGATCTACAGAAGGTCCGGTTGAAGAGGAAAATGTAGATCCTTGATTCCGAGTCCAATTGAAAGTATCGGTAGCAACATCTTGTTGCCAATTGCAGAAACCATTCTCAAAGTTACAATCGAATAATGTTGGTGGCAAGGTTGGTGTTGGACCAGGTTGAGTTGGTGTTGGAGTTGGCTGCGATGAGCTACTACAATTAGCCAAGAATGATAGATCATCAATAGCAATATCTACTTTCACCTGACCTACCACACCGACGACTTGAATAACGTAAGGTTGAGTGCTAGAATATACAATCTGGACATTTTGCCATGTTCTTGAGGATGCAAGTTGGTTACGAATCCATAATAATGTACCAAATTGGCTACCTTGCCTCTTTATATAGACCGATAGACTTCCTACCTTATTGGAGCTTGTGAAGAGGTCATAGAAGTGATACCACATGCTGAAGCAGCGAGAAGTAGTTGGGGGCAACATTTGACTTTGTAAAATAGCTTTCGAACTAGTGTTAACATTACTTGCTTCCAAGTACATATATTTACCCGCCGATGTTCCTAGTGTGTGATCAGTAAATGGTCCAGTAAAGAATGAAGGTGTACTACCTCGATTAACGGTCCAGTCAAAGGTATCTCCAGTTCTAACATTTGTCCAAGTGCAAAGACCGTTTTCAAAATTACAATTGCCTGGTGGTGGACAAGCTCCATCGCGGAATTGTAAGTCGTCAATAGCAATGTTCCCATCTCCACTGGCAGTGCTTGCTTCAATAACCGCTTGCCATGGACTAGTTAATCCACTAAGTGTAGCTTGAGCTATATTCCATGTCGTACCTTGGTTACCACTTTGACTCCATACTGCGCTACTTAAGGTACCTTTTTCTTTACTGTATACTTTGAGTGTACCTGCATTACCAGTCATGCGATAGTAGAATACCAAGCACTTCTTAAGTTGAGCGGTAGCAGCTGGTGGAAATTTCGGCCCAACTAAACGTGATTTAGCATTGGGATTACTATATGATGATACATACATGTAATAACCGGTTGCTGTATTTGTTGTATGATCTGTTGGTGGTCCAGATCCTTGCTTATCGTTACCACCTTTGGCACGAGTCCAGTTAAATGCATTAGCTTTATCTTGCATCCATTGACAGGTATTGATCTCAAAAGTGCAATCGACAGTTCTAGGACATTCACCATCCTTGATTGCAATGTCATCAAGACCAATATCGCTCTGAAATCCGTTACCTCGAACTGCTTCGAAAACAAGTTGATATGGAGTTGTACTACTAATTTGTCGATTGCCTGATAACCATTGAGTTCCTTGAGTACCTGATTTCGACCAAACAAGTGTATCTTTATTGCTTTGGCGGAGATATATATTGAGAGTACCGACATCAGCTCCGTACATACTATACCAAAAGTACAGGCAACGACTTGATGATGCAGTGAGACTAGGACTAACAAGCCTTGCATAGTCTTTATTCCTTGCACCTGTTGCTTCAATATAAATATAGTAGCCATTTCCAGTAGTGTGATCGCCAGTTGGTCCTGTACCAAAGCTTGGAGTTGAGCTATTTCGTCTTATGAATTGGAGAGGTGTGTTGGGTTGATTAGTCCAACTACAAAAACCGTTAGTAAAATTGCAATCATTTGGCCCATTCAATGGTACAATATTACTTGGTGGTGGGAGTTCAGGTCCACATTGAGGCACTTTGCAGTATGCCCATATTTTACTGGGGTCAGTTGTGTAACACCATGGACCACCTGGCTTATTATCAGGATTACGGCAATAATTATGATTTCCTATACCCATTGCTGAATAATTACTCGGCACAATGCTGTGTGGGTGAGGACTTTGCAGATTCCAATTTTGGCATGTAGTAGAATATTTTGTACGAGATGATGTACCACGATAGCTATTGCCATTGCCGTTATAACAGTTAGTGGAGCAAATACCTGATGATACTGAGAAATCATCGATGGCAATATCACCTGAACTAGCACCTGCTGTTGTAGCTTGAACGATAATTCTAAAGATAGTTGAGCTACTGATAGTAACTAGTCCATGCTTCCAACCTACGCCTTGATTACCAGAGATTTGACCAATAACCGATATTGCACCATTTCGATTAAGAGATACCGATAATGTACCAATGTTCTCACCATACATATTATACCAAACGCTGAAACATGCTGCAGTTATGGGTAAGAATTGAGTGCTGACAAGTTGTGCTTTGCCATTAACAGCAAACTGAGTGTTAAGTAAATTACTACTTTGTATAAACATGTAATGACCAAAGCGTGTACCAAGAGTATGATCAATTGAAGGTCCAGTATTAGCACTAGGGGTATCACCACTACCTCGGATCCAATTAATATCATTACTTAAGGAATTGGCCCAAGTACATAAGCTTGATTCGAAATCACAATCGGCCGGTCCGGGACAGGCACCTGCTGTAAGACCAACATCATCTATGGCTATATCACCTTGGATTCCATTTCCGACACTGGCATCAAAGACTGCTCTCCAGCTGGATATATAACTTCTAAGCGTAACTCTACCATATAACCATTGATTACCTTGATTACCAGTACGCCTCCAGCGTGGATTACTTAATGTGCCTGTTCCAGCGTTATTTAAGAACCTAATTAGGACTTGAAGGATACCAATGTTATTACCAGACATATGATACCAAAATGATAAACAACGTGAGCCTGGAGATTGTACAGGGCTTTGGATTCGTGCTTTATCGCCTCTGAATTCAAGTCCAGCATGAATATATAGGAAATGGCCTGATGATGTTTGAGTTGTATGATCAGTGGCGGGTCCAGTGCCTTGAGTAGGTGTACCATTGCTGCCAATATACCATTGAGCTTTTTCAGTAACATCGTTAGTCCAGCCGCATACTCCATTGTTGGTTGCTTCGAAATCGCAAACATCCGATGGTGGACAAGCTCCTGGTGTGAAGGAAATATCATCGACAGCAATATCACCTTGGAAATTATTGCCAGCAATACCACGTAAACGAATAGAGTAGGATACTCCACTTGATACTGTTACTTGAGCTTTTTGCCATAGGTTACCTTGACTACCTTGTCGTCTCCAAATCATTATCCTTGATATATTGGACGTGGAATAATCTCTATCAATAAATGCTTCTAATGTATTGACTTTTTCGCCGTACATTTGATACCAAAAGCGGAAACATGTTGCAGATGTTGGAGCAATGAATGGACTATAAATATCTGCATAAGGTGCTGTACTTGAATTAGTGGCAGTGATGCTAGTACTATCGATATCGAGATAATATCCAAGGCCTGATGTATGATCGTATTGTGGCCCAAGTCCTACACTTGTTGTACTTCCTTTTCGCAAAGACCAATCAAAGTTGTCATTCGTCGATTGTTTCCATAAGCAAAGATTACCGTTAGAAAAGTTACAATTATACGGTGAATTGCTAACCACAGCTGTCGGTTGTATCGGTGGTGGTAGAACAGTGCCATTGCAGACGCCATCGTAGAAAGAAATATCATCTAGCCCAATATCACCTGTAAATCCATTGCCTTTGGTAGCTTGGAATATAATCTGGTAAGAGGTTGTAGCAGTAAATTGCACTTGACCCTGTATCCATACGTTACCTTGTTGGCCGATAACGTTAGCTAATAGTGTTTGGAAACCGTCACCAAGCATAAATACAGATAAAGCACCTACCGTAGTACCTCTCATATGGAAGTAAAATCGTAAACATCTTGCATTTCCAGTCGGTCTAAAAATCTCACTAATTAATTGCGCTTTTGCACGCGGAGCAATTTGACTATTTGATGTTTCGATATATGCATAATGGCCTTTATTAGTACCGAGAGTATGATCACTTTGTGGACCAGTAGCGATACTATTTGTTGCGCCTGATGTAATTTCCCAATCAAATTGATCAGCTGCACCTTCGACATTACTCCATGTGCATAAGCCATTTTCGAAATCGCAACTGCCAGGTGGAGGGCATGGTCGGCGCAAGAATGCGATATCGTCTAGTGCAACATCACCAAATATTCCGTTGCCAACCACTGATTCGAATACAACTCTATAGGCATTTGGACTCCTCAGAGTAACTTGACCAATTTGCCATCTTGCACCTTGATTGCCAAAACGTTGCCATAGAGGAGTAGTTAATTGACTTTGACCAGCTGCTAACATGTAAACATTTAATAGACCAACAGTGGATCCGTACATATAGTACCAGAACTGTAAGCAATTTCCACTGGTTGAAGCTTTGAGTGGACTGATAATTCGCGCTCGACTACCAGGTCGCTGTGGTGTCGAGGATTCAGCATAGATGTAATAACCTGTAGGTGATCGCGATGTATGATCTACACTAGGTCCTGTATTAGGAGTTCCTGTTGGACCTATTTTTCTTGTCCAATTAAATGTATCTCCCTGATCTTGAAGCCAGCCACACCAACCTTCTTGGAAATCGCATTCATCGTTATATAATACGCAAGGTCTATCTAAGAATTGGACATCATCAATAGCAATGTCGCCTAAAAAGTTTGCACCGGTGTAACCCTCGAATGTAAAGTTATAGGGAATACCAGTCCTAATATTTCGTTGTGCTATCTTCCACTTGTCACCTTGTGGCCCAGAACGACTCCAAATAAGATGTCGAGCACCTTCGTCATTGCTAGCATAAACATCTAACATGTTAACGCTTTGGCCATGCATCCAATACCAAAATTGGAAGCAAAAGAAGGTAGTAGGGTGAGCTTGTACAGTCGGTGGTTGTAAAATAGCTACTTGATTAGGTTGTGTAAATGATGATTCAATATACATATAGTAGCCATTGCCGGTGGTATGATCATGTCGTGGTCCTGTACCAGTACTTGTTGTTGAGCCTCTGAAACGCCTCCATTTTAGTGAAGTATCCGATGGTTGCGTATAATTACATACACCTGTCTCAAATGTGCATCCATAAGGTAACTGTGGTGCTGGTGATGGTGTTACAATAGGCAAGTTGTTGACAGCGCAGCGACCAGGAGTGAATATGATATTATCGATGGCGAAATTTCCAGACATACCAGGACTCCTTTTGGCTTCAAAAATAATCTGGTAGGCTGTTGTTATACTATGAATAGTAATATTACCTTGCTTCCATTGATTCCCTTGAGCTCCTTTAATTTGGCTAAGGTAGTAAACTCGACCAGTATTGCGTCGTCTGATGTAGACGGTTAAATCGCCAGGATTAGCACCATTAACATAGTACCAGAAGCTTAAACATTGGCCAGCAGTAATTGGCAAATATTCACTATAAAATCGAGCAAACTGTGTAGTAGTGACACCGGAAGGAGTAGTTGAATTAGCATAAATATAGGAGCCTGTATTTTTTTGGGTAGTAACATCAGTTGTTGGCCCACCAGTAAAGCCTGGCAGACTAGGACTAGTAATGATCCAATTAAAACTATCCAATAAACTATTGTAATAGGCACATAAGCCATTTTCGAAGGTACAACTTCCAGGTGGAGGACATGCGCCATTTACAATTCTAATATCATCAACAGCGATTGTATGTTTGGCGCCATTACCAACGACGGCTTCAAAAGCAGGTATCCAACGATAATTGGCTTTAACGGTAACCCATGCATTAATCCATTGATTTCCAAGTGATCCAGTCATACTCCATAATGCAATTCCGTTGGAGGAGAATGTTGCAGCATAAAAATTCAACGAAGCGGTGGTATCGGAGCCATTCATATAGTACCAAAATTGAATACAAGTTCCATTGGTAGCGCTATAGGATGGCCCTTCAAGTTGTGCTTTATAACCAGGTGTTCTACCGGTTGTATCTGCATAT